TTCGATATCAATGATCCGCTTTCACTGATTTATGTTGATAAATATTTATATATAGCCCTAATGGCGCAATGGATAGCGCGTTGGACTTCTAATCCAGAGGTTATGGGTTCGAGTCCCATCTAGGGTTATGTAAAATCTTTTGTTCGACATTCATCATCCGCTTTCACTGATTTATGTTGATAAATATTTATATATAGCCCTAGTGGCGCAATGGATAGCGCGTTGGACTTTTAATCCAGAGGTTATGGGTTTGAGTCCCATCTAGTTATGTAAAATCTTTTGTTCGATATCAATGATCCGCTTTCACTGATTTATGTTGATAAATATTTATATATAGCCCTAGTGGCGCAATGGATAGCGCGTTGGACTTCTAATCCAGAGGTTATGGGTTCGAGTCCCATCTAGGGTTATGTAAAATCTTTTGTTCGACATTCATCATCCGCTTTCACTGATTTATGTTGATAAATATTTATATATAGCCCTAGTGGCGCAATGGATAGCGCGTTGGACTTCTAATCCAGAGGTTATGGGTTCGAGTCCCATCTAGGGTTATGTAAAATCTTTTGTTCGATATTCATCATCCGCTTTCACTGATTTATGTTGATAAATATTTATATATAGCCCTAGTGGCGCAATGGATAGCGCGTTGGACTTCTAATCCAGAGGTTATGGGTTCGAGTCCCATCTAGGGTTATGTAAAATCTTTTGTTCGACATTCATCATCCGCTTTCACTGATTTATGTTGATAAATATTTATATATAGCCCTAGTGGCGCAATGGATAGCGCGTTGGACTTTTAATCCAGAGGTTATGGGTTTGAGTCCCATCTAGAGTTATGTAAAATTTTTTGTTCGATATCAATGATCCGCTTTCACTGATTTATACTGATAAATATTTATATATAGCCCTAATGGCGCAATGGATAGCGCGTTGGACTTCTAATCCAGAGGTTATGGGTTTGAGTCCCATCTAGGGTTATGTAAAATCTTTTGTTCGACATTCATCATCCTCTTTCACTGATTTATGTTGATAAATATTTATATATAGCCCTAGTGGGTCAATGGATAGCGCGTTGGACTTCTAATCCAGAGGTTATGGGTTTGAGTCCCATCTAGGGTTATGTAAAATTTTTTGTTCGATATCAATGATCCGCTTTCACTGATTTATACTGATAAATATTTATATATAGCCCTAATGGCGCAATGGATAGCGCGTTGGACTTCTAATCCAGAGGTTATGGGTTTGAGTCCCATCTAGGGTTATGTAAAATCTTTTGTTCGACATTCATCATCCTCTTTCACTGATTTATGTTGATAAATATTTATATATAGCCCTAGTGGGTCAATGGATAGCGCGTTGGACTTCTAATCCAGAGGTTATGGGTTCGAGTCCCATCTAGGGTTATGTAAAATCTTTTGTTCGACATTCATCATCCGCTTTCACTGATTTATGTTGATAAATATTTATATATAGCCCTAGTGGTGCAATGGATAGCGCGTTGGACTTTTAATCCAGAGGTTATGGGTTTGAGTCCCATCTAGGGTTATGTAAAATCTTTTGTTCGATATCAATGATCCGCTTTCACTGATTTATGTTGATAAATATTTATATATAGCCCTAGTGGCGCAATGGATAGCGCGTTGGACTTCTAATCCAGAGGTTAGGTTCGAGTCCCATCTAGGGTTATGTAAAATCTTTTGTTCGACATTCATCATCCGCTTTCACTGATTTATGTTGATAAATATTTATATATAGCCCTAGTGGCGCAATGGATAGCGCGTTGGACTTTTAATCCAGAGGTTATGGGTTTGAGTCCCATCTAGGGTTATGTAAAATCTTTTGTTCGATATCAATGATCCGCTTTCACTGATTTATACTGATAAATATTTATATATAGCCCTAATGGCGCAATGGATAGCGCGTTGGACTTCTAATCCAGAGGTTATGGGTTTGAGTCCCATCTAGGGTTATATAAAATCTTTTGTTCGACATTCATCATCCGCTTTCACTGATTTATGTTGATAAATATTTATATATAGCCCTAGTGGGTCAATAGATAGCGCGTTGGACTTCTAATCCAGAGGTTATGGGTTCGAGTCCCATCTAGGGTTATGTAAAATCTTTTGTTCGACATTCATCATCCGCTTTCACTGATTTATGTTGATAAATATTTATATATAGCCCTAGTGGTGCAATGGATAGCGCGTTGGACTTTTAATCCAGAGGTTATGGGTTTGAGTCCCATCTAGGGTTATGTAAAATCTTTTGTTCGATATCAATGATCCGCTTTCACTGATTTATGTTGATAAATATTTATATATAGCCCTAGTGGCGCAATGGATAGCGCGTTGGACTTCTAATCCAGAGGTTATGGGTTCGAGTCCTATCTAGGGTTATGTAAAATCTTTTGTTCGACATTCATCATCCGCTTTCACTGATTTATGTTGATAAATATTTATATATAGCCCTAGTGGTGCAATGGATAGCGCGTTAGACTTTTAATCCAGAGGTTATGGGTTTGAGTCCCATCTAGGGTTATGTAAAATCTTTTGTTCGATATCAATGATCCGCTTTCACTGATTTATGTTGATAAATATTTATATATAGCCCTAGTGGCGCAATGGATAGCGCGTTGGACTTTTAATCCAGAGGTTATGGGTTTGAGTCCCATCTAGGGTTATGTAAAATCTTTTGTTCGATATCAATGATCCGCTTTCACTGATTTATGTTGATAAATATTTATATATAGCCCTAGTGGCGCAATGGATAGCGCGTTGGACTTTTAATCCAGAGGTTATGGGTTTGAGTCCCATCTAGGGTTATGTAAAATCTTTTGTTCGATATCAATGATCCGCTTTCACTGATTTATGTTGATAAATATTTATATATAGCCCTAGTGGCGCAATGGATAGCGCGTTGGACTTCTAATCCAGAGGTTATGGGTTCGAGTCCCATCTAGGGTTATGTAAAATCTTTTGTTCGACATTCATCATCTTCTTTCACTGTTTTATGTTGCTAAATATTTATATATAGCCCTAGTGGTGCAATGGATAGCGCGTTGGACTTTTAATCCAGAGGTTATGGGTTTGAGTCCCATCTAGGGTTATGTAAAATCTTTTGTTCGATATCAATGATCCGCTTTCACTGATTTATGTTGATAAATATTTATATATAGCCCTAGTGGCGCAATGGATAGCGCGTTGGACTTCTAATCCAGAGGTTAGGTTCGAGTCCCATCTAGGGTTATGTAAAATCTTTTGTTCGACATTCATCATCCGCTTTCACTGATTTATGTTGATAAATATTTATATATAGCCCTAGTGGCGCAATGGATAGCGCGTTGGACTTTTAATCCAGAGGTTATGGGTTTGAGTCCCATCTAGGGTTATGTAAAATCTTTTGTTCGATATCAATGATCCGCTTTCACTGATTTATACTGATAAATATTTATATATAGCCCTAATGGCGCAATGGATAGCGCGTTGGACTTCTAATCCAGAGGTTATGGGTTTGAGTCCCATCTAGGGTTATATAAAATCTTTTGTTCGACATTCATCATCCGCTTTCACTGATTTATGTTGATAAATATTTATATATAGCCCTAGTGGGTCAATAGATAGCGCGTTGGACTTCTAATCCAGAGGTTATGGGTTCGAGTCCCATCTAGGGTTATGTAAAATCTTTTGTTCGACATTCATCATCCGCTTTCACTGATTTATGTTGATAAATATTTATATATAGCCCTAGTGGTGCAATGGATAGCGCGTTGGACTTTTAATCCAGAGGTTATGGGTTTGAGTCCCATCTAGGGTTATGTAAAATCTTTTGTTCGATATCAATGATCCGCTTTCACTGATTTATGTTGATAAATATTTATATATAGCCCTAGTGGCGCAATGGATAGCGCGTTGGACTTCTAATCCAGAGGTTATGGGTTCGAGTCCTATCTAGGGTTATGTAAAATCTTTTGTTCGACATTCATCATCCGCTTTCACTGATTTATGTTGATAAATATTTATATATAGCCCTAGTGGTGCAATGGATAGCGCGTTAGACTTTTAATCCAGAGGTTATGGGTTTGAGTCCCATCTAGGGTTATGTAAAATCTTTTGTTCGATATCAATGATCCGCTTTCACTGATTTATGTTGATAAATATTTATATATAGCCCTAGTGGCGCAATGGATAGCGCGTTGGACTTTTAATCCAGAGGTTATGGGTTTGAGTCCCATCTAGGGTTATGTAAAATCTTTTGTTCGATATCAATGATCCGCTTTCACTGATTTATGTTGATAAATATTTATATATAGCCCTAGTGGCGCAATGGATAGCGCGTTGGACTTTTAATCCAGAGGTTATGGGTTTGAGTCCCATCTAGGGTTATGTAAAATCTTTTGTTCGATATCAATGATCCGCTTTCACTGATTTATGTTGATAAATATTTATATATAGCCCTGGATAGCGCTTCTAATCCAGAGGTTATGGGTTCGAGTCCCATCTAGGGTTATGTAAAATCTTTTGTTCGATATTCATCATCCGCTTTCACTGATTTATGTTGATAAATATTTATATATAGCCCTAGTGGCGCAATGGATAGCGCGTTGGACTTTTAATCCAGAGGTTATGGGTTCGAGTCCCATCTAGGGTTATATAAAATCTTTTGTTCGACATTCATCATCCGCTTTCACTGATTTATGTTGATAAATATTTATATATAGCCCTAGTGGCGCAATGGATAGCGCGTTGGACTTTTAATCCAGAGGTTATGGGTTTGAGTCCCATCTAGGGTTATGTAAAATTTTTTGTTCGATATCAATGATCCGCTTTCACTGATTTATACTGATAAATATTTATATATAGCCCTAATGGCGCAATGGATAGCGCGTTGGACTTCTAATCCAGAGGTTATGGGTTTGAGTCCCATCTAGGGTTATGTAAAATCTTTTGTTCGACATTCATCATCTTCTTTCACTGATTTATGTTGATAAATATTTATATATAGCCCTAATGGCGCAATGGATAGCGCGTTGGACTTCTAATCCAGAGGTTATGGGTTTGAGTCCCATCTAGGGTTATGTAAAATCTTTTGTTCGACATTCATCATCCGCTTTCACTGATTTATGTTGATAAATATTTATATATAGCCCTAGTGGTGCAATGGATAGCGCGTTGGACTTTTAATCCAGAGGTTATGGGT